GCCCGCAGCACGAGGGGTCCCTGCAGCTCCCCCAGCTCCCGGCCCCGCGCAGCGCTTGGCTCCGGCCTCCCCAGCGGCTTCCGCAGCGCTGGGGCTCCCAGCAGGGGCAGAAGCGTTACACGGGGCGGACGCAGCGCTTAGACAAGGGGCCCTTCAGAAGAGAAAGAGAGGGGAAAAATGCACACCTGTAATAAACATTTACAAGCAGCTCTGCTTTTAATCTACAGAGAATTCCTCRCACTTCAGAGAGTGCTACTTACCACAACTGAATGATGCCAGTTATGGCATCCTATTCAGTCATTTCAATACAGTGTAGATCTAAAAGATATAAAATGGAAATATCAGTCTGGACACTACAATATGAACAGCTTAGCAAGTTACAATTGCTGCAGTCAGCAACATTTTCTACTCAGTTCCTTGAATAAACACCCTTCATTTTATCCTGTCACCTGTTTCTATAGGATAAATCCTGACCTAGCATTATTAGAGTCAATGACAGCCTTGCAGGTGACTGCAGTGGGCACAATTAGTGCTTCAAGGGCTGATACAAAACACACTCCTGCAGGAGCACAGGCACAGACCAAAAGCACTACCAAAGCCTCTAATGACTGATCTTAAAAGGCAGTTTAAATGTTAAATACATTTTCAGGTTGCCAAGCCTTTTATCATTTACAATCAGTAAGTATAAAATTCTGATCCTTGTTCGGAGAATTGAGCATCAAAAAAACCCAGCTACTTTGCCCACCATGTCCAGGTGGCTTTCTAGAAAGCAGGCTATAAAATACACCTTATTTCCTTATTTTTTTTTTTTTTTTGATTGATTGTTTTCCCCGACTGTTATTTTCTCCCACCCCCCCTCTCTCCCAATTCTGCTCTGAGCTCCTTTTGCTCTCACACTAAGGTCACACTAAATTGCTCTGGATTAGATTTCCTGGTCACTAACCACTTGGTTTAGCCCTTGGATAGTCTTTTTTATTTATTTTTTTCCCCTCCTCCCTCTGTTTGTTTCATCCATCACTGAAAGGCACATTATTCTGCTCAGACTAAATAAAAAACTGCTATCCTATCCAGCAACTTCTACAAGATGCATGACCATTTGATTGACTAACATCCCTCATAACAATATTAGCCAATATGACAGTCTATGACTGGGCCAAATATGAATCATAAATTGAGACAGGATAGATCATTTGATTCATTCTACTTAGTAGRGAACTGCTTTCATTAGACTATTATGAAATCTACCAGTCTTAWGATAAGCATTGCAGTAAGAAGCTTCTGTGCCTTTCCTTCAATATTATTTCCTTCTGGTCAGATATTTTTCTGATATTAACTACTTATTTGTATAGCTTCAGCCCACCACTTCTAGTGATTTATTACCAATTGCTTTTTCCTATTTTTTGAGGTGCTTTATGTTATATAGGTACCATGTTACTTAAATTGCACCATTTCTTCCTTTGCTTTCACCCCTTACTCTGAAGGGCAACTCTAAAACCAGTGGGTTTTTTTGCCTCTACTTTCATAGTTTCCCAGCTAYGTTCACATTAATTATATGCTGGGTTTGTTGTGCTCTCAAGCTGCAGTGCCATACACCTTTTAGAGAGAAGAATTGTGCATCAGACTCCAAGTGGCATTCATTCTCCAGGACTTCACTGACAGGTCATCAAAACAGTTCTGCTTCTGGGGAGATAACTTGGCATTAAAAGCCCAACTTGTAGGTAAAACCAGCACTATCCCATAGTTAGCTGAGTTGATGAAGGGAACAGTGACATAGCCTGAAGACCTGGAAYGGATAATTACAAGTTACACATTCCCACATGAAAACATGATGTCAGTTTTAAAGTATTTTTTATACAGGAAGCAATATGCCTATGTAAATACAACACACCACTTGCGTGTCTCAGCAGTCTCACTGCCCTGTTACTATATATGCTATCCGTGATACATTGACCAAATTCTGTAGCCGTTCTGGGAGTTTTCAATTTTTTTTATAGGGATTTAATGTAAGCACATTGTGTAGTATGTGTTGCAAGCATTAAAAYCCATATAATTGACATTAAAATTTAAACTGTACATTGTAAATAAWTGAGAGAACGTTTTCTTATATTGGATAAAGCAAGTGCAATGCTCACTATTCCTGATAGGCAGCCCGAATTTCACAAAAGAATTCTAAATAACATATAGCAAAAGTCAAATAAACTTGTGTAACTAACTATACAAATACAGGTATTAACTCCAAGTCTGATAACCTGCAGCTAGCAGATRCATTTTATGATAGTAAGCTTATGATATTAAATCTGGCATGTACCAAGATCAAAAGGACAGCTAGATAATATATATATATTCAGTAGAATATGACAAATGTGTTTTAGTGGCTGTAACACAGGGGAAGTCAAAATCTTTTACTGCCTTACTTTTCTTCTCAACCTAAGATACATTTATGCAAGCCTCCCAGTTTCACAGACCAATGCCATAATAGTACTTTTGGAATTGATACTTGCCTTTAAATACTTTGAAGCAATCAACTCAATGTCTATTGTTAAAGGTTATATTTTGTGAAAGATAAATTGTTGGCAAAGAACATGGATTATTCAAGGACAAATATGTTCCCTCTCAAAGCAGGAGGACAGAGTATATTGTACTAAGAACAAAAACCTCACTACAGATACCAGTACACACACAGAGTGCAGAAGCAAGTGGTGGTCAGATCCTTGACATTYTGCTGACTTGCTTAGAGCTGCTAGAACACGGAAGATTCCAAACAACRTTGGCTTACTAAATGCAGTTTATTAGAACTCTAAATACAAAGTTCTACTGCACTTTGGTTCCTATTTTGTGCAAAGCATCCATAAAAAAAATCCTAAATGTTTGTTCACCAGAGTGCAGACAGTAAACAGAATTCACACCCACCCTGCAAATATGCTCTCCTGGGCACAGGGCATGGGAAGATGTGTCGCTGCCCTGCGAGAAGAGTAGAGATTTAACAGCAGGGGCCCGAGGCACAGCAGGCAGCTCTGAGGTCAGACTAGACCTGGGCACAGACCCTACCAGCCTCAACACTGTGGCCCCAGGGCAATTCAAGCACACCCTCTGCAGCTATCACAACCTCGTAGGCATGGTCTTCAGAAGCCTTGTAGCCTGGAAATAAATACCGACAAGTTTGCCCAAAGCAGCTTAATGTGAAATATGAAGTAAAACAGACTAACTCAGCCTGTTCATCAAGAAAAAGAATTGTACACACTTAAGATGCTAGTATTAGACTGCTCTTCAGGAAAACTGGAGGATTAATGTATCTTTCAACTGCTAGTTCTAGTGTTGTTCCTGTGTTCTCAAGGTGATTATCAATGYAAAGTGAACAAGTTTTAAGTCTTAACCTGGAATATTTAATAATCTATATCTTAGCTAGAACTTTTTTTTTTGTCTCTGAACATTTTTCTCCTAAAGCCAGCAGAGGGAGACAGGTTCTTTTTTACTCCTAAAAAGGCCAAAAAAAAAACCTTCAAGAATATCTTCCTGGACATTAAAAAGTGAAGCATCTGAATATTCYTAAAATCAAGTAAAAGTGGAAAGGCTAGTAAATGCATGTAGAAGCTTTGTCAATGCTACACTGCACTAAGGTACCGTGGGACAGTCAGTAGTCTACAGAATGCCTTGATAAGGACTACTAACATTAAGAATGATGCCAGAAAAACCTGAGGAACTGTGGACAACAGGATGCACACCTGGAAATACTACTCATTCCTTAGGTAAAGGTAATTGAGATAATTGGAGAGCTGCTGGCAAGTTAGGTATTTAAAATCCCAATCACAGAGTCATACTTAATCAGGTACCCGAAGATGAGGGATGATAAAACTTCATAGTTGCTACAGTACTTGCCTGGATTATCCTGTTTCTAAGAATAAAGAAAAATAATAATTAAAAATAATAAAACAGTGGTAGGAAGAAGACGCTCCCACAGAGATCTCCTTGTAGGACATCTACACCATTCCACCAAGGCCAGCTGCTGAGCAAAAGGTTAGAGGCTCTTCCACCAACTGCCTATATTCCTGCAGCATTCTCCTATGAGCTAATTTCACATGAAATTTCTTGTACTAAAACTATGTTAACTGCTAACACAATTTCCTTTCAGAGTTTCTCCTTAAGCACTGCAAATCAAATAAAGTATTCTGCTATGGAAAAACTATAAATATCAAAGCTGTGTCACACATTTGTTTGCAACATGACAGTTTCTTTTCAGCGATATACACTACAAATTCACCACGGTACTTTTCATGTCGCTGTCCAACTCTCATACTATCCTCAAGCCTTGTATTTTGGTACACAGCTTTTGCAGTTTCTCACAAGGTGAGTTAAGTGATTCCTGGAGAACATTCATAGAACTGTTTTTCAGGTTAGAGTTTCAATGATTTAAATGACAGATTTTATCTGGTGGATGTTCTGGAGACAGCAGAATTAACTTAAAATACCTGAAAACCTGAAGATGTTTTAACTGGTTTTAAAAGAGCATATGATACTAAGTGACAGCTATATAAGACTAAAGTACTGGCATATTATTCACAAGTATTTATGGTTTGTCTTTGCTGTTTACCTAAATAAGSAGAAACATAGCCGTGCATCCGTGGCACAAAACTGAGCAGCCTTGGTTCAATGTAGAGCTTCCCTGCACTTGACTGAGGCAGCTGGCCTAYGGAGGCAAGCAGCACAGTACTAATACGTGCTGCAACTCACTTCACAACTTGGGACAGGGCTCACACATGCRTGGGAGGAAATAAATACGTGTGCTCATGTATGCACCTGCAACCTGGGAAGCTTCAAGAAGCGGGGCTGCTAATCTGCATAGCGCACAGTTTGGGTCTGATCCTGAGTGCTGCCTTCCAGTACTTTATCCATCTAAAGATTCCTGCTGAACACAACAGGAATTAGTCACCTGACTATGGGCTTGCAGATTGCATTGGGAAAATTGTTTCTCATCTTCCAAAGGTGTCAGAGAAATGACCTACCTCTTCACAAAGGTTCTCAGGACCTACAGTCAGGCAATTCTTCTACCATGAGGCAGTGACTCATCAGGACATGGAGGAACACAGCACTCATCCTAATTAAGGGCAGCACTTAGGCAGTATTGAAGCATCCGCAAATCTAGCAAGAAAATCAACAAAAAGACTTGTGACTTATTTCCTAAATATAAACATAACATGTTTCAAATGGTAGCAGGCATCTACTTGCAAAACACACTCAAGAAGATAGCTGAAGGACATGGAAAATAATATGGATACAGGAAGAGAACATACAGATTAATAGACACCCCATTATCTATTTTTTCATAATAAAGTGCTGTATTTTGTAGTGCAGCAAGTGTTTACATTTACACCTGTGTATGGAAAAACTTGAGGCTGGTGACTCTTCATAACATTTTAAACAAAAAATCCTCATCTGTATCATTTTATCTAAATCTCAACTCTTCCAGGACAGAGAGAGAAAAAAAATGATTTTACTGAAAACACCCATCTCCTATGTAACTTCAAAAACTTTTGAAAAAATGGTTTCAATCAGAAAAACATATTAAGACACAATATTTCTTTATAGAAAAWGTCTAAGATTTAAAATCCAAACAAAACCAAACACTAGCCTTTCAGAAATGGCCCTACCATTCATTAAAGTACTATAAATTTAATTCCCACCTACTCTATTTTACAGACTTTGAGCAGAGTAGTTAATACTGATCACAGATGTGTTTCTTAGAGAGACTCCAAGTGATTGTTCTAGAGAGAGGCAGAAGTAGACCTTTTTCAATCATGAAAATAAAAGCAACAGCAGCTGTCATATTCCCAGGCTTTTTGTAGAAAATTCCCTGGATGTCCAAGTACGTATATAGTGAATTGTTGAAGCTTTCATTAATGGCTGAAAGTACGAATTTGAAATAGATTTTCTTTTTACTGACATTATTGCTAACACAAATTCTAGTGTTTGGAGTAGTCCAGCTAAAATCCTATTCGCAGTTATATCAATTCTAAGCACTTAGCTTCTCTTATCATTTCATTAGTTCTACAGTCACCACCATTTTCTAGAGACAAAGACAGCCTAACAGATGTAGTGTGCTTATACTGAAAACATTTAAAAAAAAMCTTCTTTATCTGAGTGGAAATTACTCTTTATTCGTTTCCTATCAGCACCAAAACAAACAGGGTTGATCTCACTGATATCTAGCATCTTTCCTAGAAGCATGGAATTGGCTAGATGCAGTCTCAAAAGTTATGTTGCATTCAGACAAGAAGATGAGGGCACACGGAACAAAGCTGAAACTACATTTCTRTGACAGTATGCATCGCAACCTCACCTTTTAATGCTCCCTATGACTTTTCACCAGGGATTTACAGCAAACTCTAGAATATATTCAGTCTCTGAATAAATGAATAGATAAATAACAGATTAAAAAARAATCGGGCCACAAGGTCTTGCTTCGGCACAGTGACTCTCTCTTAACTGTAAATTTGACTCAGAAAACCCTCTTCACTTTTGAATTTCCTAGCAAAAGGAAATTCTAAAACTGAAAACACTTCTGAAAATCCTGTAAGCTTCTAGAGCATAACCACCAATATTAGCATTGTTTCACTACTCTCATTTCCTTTTTCCCTTTCTCTACCAGGCACACAGCTATTTCGCCACCTGGCATTGCGGTGACCTAGCCCACCTCATTTTCTAGGGTCAATACAGACTTCTGTAACACAGAAGACAGACTTACTAGAAAATATTAATTTAGCTATAAAGAACAAGCACTGCTCCAAACTAAGTGCACATAGAATGGATGGGAACACATGCAGACTAGACAGTGCTATATGGAACATGACTAACACCTTTGCAAACAAAAGGACTTTGAGGACAAACATGCTGCTAGCCTAATGGCAAAAGGCAAACAGATGTGGCAGAGGTAGAGCTTTTACTTACTGAAAGCGTTTTTAAAACCCATGCTTAGAACACATGTCCCTCTGTAATCATTAAGTACTAGGGATGGATGCTTTGGACTTGCTGCAAAGGAGGATTTGTAGAAATCTGATGCTGTCATCTTTTCTGGCTTTGCGAGCCTTCCAAAGATTAAGTTACATAATGGCAGTCTACACTAAGCCTGAACATTACAAAAGTCAGAATACTTTGATGCAACGGAAGGCATCAATTCTTGCTTAGGATTAGAGTCTAATCAGGGATCCTACATCTGCAGTCATTCATCTGAAGGGTGTTTTGCCTCAGGACCAAACGGTGCAGCCTTACACTGCATTTGAGGCCCTAATTTGTTTCTATCCCTGCAAGTTCAATATTCTACCTTAGGGAGCGGGTGTAATTTGGGCGGGCTGGGGAGGGATGTCCTTTTGGAAGGGCTGGCAAGATCCGCAAAAGTTGATAGTTTGGGGGAGAGGCTCACACAGTTTAAATGACTGAAAAGCATTTGTGAATAGATCAGCCTTCTAATCCTCTGGTAACGAAGCAAACAAACCTACTCCATTTTTTCAATTAAGTTACAGACTGCAGCCCTAGGTTTGCATTTCTGTGGGTTTGATAACAGTTACAATGGGTGCAGTTCATGGGGCAAAATCAGTATATCTTGGCTTCAAGCTTACCAGCCTGCAAAATRGACATTATCTAACTGCAGGTTTTCTGAAACATGGAGTAACTGCAAAGTGCTTTCAGATACACTGACGAAAGCTTTTCTGCTGTAACAGCTTGGTGGGGGAGAAGGGAGAAAGCACAGAATGCAGCAGGGCAACATTGTGGGAGGCAGGCCAGAAGAAGTGATAATATAAGTGAGATAAGGGCCAAAAGAAGAAATGCTGTTCTGATCTGTTTTAAAGGTCATCCTGCCCCACAGCTATTTTCATCTCCATTGCCTTTCATAGCTGTTAACATTTGCCTCAACTGCAACAAGTGCCATAAAGAACGATGCATCTTTAATCCAAAGCCAACACTAGAAATCAACAGCACACAGCTAACCAATTCTAGGAAGCTCTCCTTAAGAGTGGTTCACAGAGCTSGTTTACTACATCTAACTGTGTCAACAAAATCAGAATCACAGCTTCAAGGTTTTAATCATAGCAACAGAATTTGCTCCACACTATAGAATACTTCTTTGTTTCACAGTCCATCAAACTCGAGTTAACACCTAATTCCACAGGATTAGGTATGAGGCCCAAGTAATGCTAAATATTTCATGTTAAAAATGCTGCAACCATAAGTAGCATCTATAAATAATTACAGTGCGATAGAGACTTACATGTACAACAGATTTGATGTTGGTCTTAAAATTAGTTTGAATTTAATTATCTTTGTTTTAAGAATGTGATGTGAAAATAAAGTGTCAACTGCATRAGTACACAGTAAATTTAAAGAGTATGAAGAAACTTGTATAGAAAGAAAATAAATCATGAAAAGAAAATAAATCATAATGCAGAGTCATACAAAAGAAATTGCCAGATACACTATTTCTAGCCACAGTTTGGCACTAGTAAGCATTACAACTGCACCGAAGTCTCTGCACTCTTGCATATGCTCATTCACACAGCTGCATCTGCTTCTACTCWCTTGTGCTTCTCCCTCTCCTGTTGGAAGTTTCTTAGTAGAATGAGCTTTGTGCTCAGTATTTTCAGCTCCAACCTTATATTCAACTCCAACATTCTGCCAAAGCTCTTACTATTATTTTGCCTGCAACTGCCAGTAGATTTTCACCAGGAACCAGACACTGTTACTTAAAAAAAATAAGAAAGGAAGGTCATCTTGGGTTTCTACCCAAAGAACAGGACTGTACTTTGCACAACACATAAGGTGTAAAGTATACTCTGAACTTTAGTCTCTTAGTAATGTCAGAATCCTACCACATCTTCCTCCACAAAGCAGTTAATAAGTTTATACTTTAACTTTGATTTCCAGCCTGAGCAAAAGGAATTGAACTTGCAACATGTAACATCAATTAAACATAGGTGACAGTGTTCAGCACACTTCTTATTAATCTTGTTTTATCTTATTTTTCCTCTTGTCATCTCAGCTTACAGCTAAACAGTTGTTCTACCATTGCTACAGTAGACTGCTATGTTTTTCCCACACCACATATTTAAAAAAAACCCAAAACACATTAGATGAAGACCTGGAAAAGAGCAGAAAAAAAGCCCTACAATCTAATAGCACAGCACACAACAGCCATACTGGTTCGTAGAAAAGATCCCTTCATTCCAACACAACAGCCAACGAAGTACTGCAAGTATACAAAAGCCAACCCAGTTTCTAGCAATAGGTAGTTCAAGGTTAAAACTTGAGTGGGTTTTTTTTTTGTTGTTTTTCATCCTAAATAAATCATTTCACAAAGGCATTTAATTGCCTTCTGAATTCACTTAAAGTTTAGAAGCCTACTGTTTAAGTGCGTGTTAGAGAAACACTTGTTTTGAATCTGCCACCTGATTTAATGCCTTTTTGTTGTCCTTCCCCTACAATTACCTCTACTATTTACCTCCAGCATGCCACACTTTTACAGATCTCCATCTCTGTCCCAGGGTCATCTCTCCTGCAGGCTGGGAAGTCTAGTTGTTTGTTTCCAACACAGAAGCCATCCCATGCTTGGGCTCATGCTTGTTGCCTCCTTCTATAGCTTTTTCTGATAGAAAGAAACAAAAGAGAATTGCATACTATATTTAAAATTAAGGTGTACCATGGATTTAAGCAGTCACAATCCTTTGCATCTGTTTTCCTACTACTATTCTTACTACTTGCCTTACTTGTGATTCTGGCCACACTGAGCTTTCTAATTGCACACCCAGTACAGGCAGCAACAGGAGCAGTTCAGAGACCGTCATGTTGGATACAAAACTCGGACTGGGCAAGGTAAATCATTTTGCATTAATAGTGTAGCTTTTGCTGCTTTATCACCAGTGGCTGTGTATTATGAAATCCTTTTCCAGTTCTCACATTGAAAGAACCTTCATATTGCATACCACAGCTCTCAGTTTTACTACTCTAAATAGTCCACTGTTAACCACCAACTTTCTCACATCACCTTCTACCCCTCTGGGGAATCATTTACTGCAATAGCAAGCAACAATCTGGTAAAAATTCTTGTGAAAAAACACTGGCTGACTTTCCTCCCCAAGTCAAAGGTTTGCAAAAATTAGGACAATCAAAAAATCTCCAAAACAACAAAAAATCCTCACTTATTCTTACTCCCCATCTCCGATAACTAAATGGCAATTGTACACATGTAACTATGACAGGAAAGTACGTATGATTTTAAATGGTTGAGGTTTATGACTTGCAACCTTAAATATACCTAGTGCATGGCTAGTCTTTCCCTAAGTTAAAGGCAAAGGTTATTTTTCTCCTGTATAATAGCAACAGTATCATATGAACTGCAGATGACTTAGAAAAAAATAAGTACAAGATTGGTGTTAAATATGTATTGCACAGCCTTTACCACCTACCTTTTATCTACTTTCTTAATGTTTCCACTCATAAAAAATCAGAGGCCCAAAAGGGTGCTGTAAATGGCATACTACTTTCCCCAGCTGTAGTACCCTATCTTTTACTTATTGCTTCTTTTATTATCTCATTTCCAAACTACTCCCTCTTGAGGCAGGATGACCAAAATAGCTTGCATCGTCTTAGATGCCTTACCTCCTTAGGAAAGATACCATTCCTCTTCTGTCTCCTCTTTGCAACTTGAGTCTTGAGGCAATATGGAGAAAGGATCTGCAAGTCTTCTACCAGTGTCCACGCTTTTCTCCACCTTCAACACATTGAAACATGTCTTTTGAAACTTGGCTCTCCTCCATTTCCTTGACAGCAAAAACTGTATTTTTTTTAAGTCAATGTAAAGCTGAAATTGCCAAGGAAGCCAGCCTTCCCGTATGCTCACCTAAAGTTTGAGTCACCGCATTGCTTTAAAAAGTTTGATATTCATACATACAGTAAATAAGTGATCGAATCCAAGCAGACTTAAGTATTTGCTTAAATGTTTTACTTCAAAGAAGTCCAAATGTTCCTGTTTCCAGGAAAAGTTATCTGGCTCACAGTCAGAAACTCTTTACGAGAAACAAAAAGCTGGAGCTGACTGAGCAAGTTTATTTTCACAAAAAGTCCAAATGAAATGGCACCTTTTTTGATCGGCTTTTTTTTATCGTCTCTTCCCTCTAGGGGAGATGCAATACTAATTTTGGCAAATAAAGTTTTATACTATAAGAAAGGGCACTTATCCAAGCCCATGGCTGGGTTCGCACTGCTCAAAGCGCCTCTGATCTCGGGCAGGGACATCAGTGTGGACCCAGAAAGCTGGAAATAATCTGGCCAGGCAGGCTCAATCCTTCACCAAAAGCCTACAGGTTCCAACCTGAAACCAAGTAGCCATGTAACATGTGGAAAGAGAGGAGGAGAAAAAAAAAAAAAAGTAGCAAAGTAACAATTCTTGTCAGCCTGTGACTGATAAAAGTGTGAAAAACAATCCTGAAAATAGACAAAACAAAGATGACTATCACGCCCTCCAAAGCAGCAGGCCTCAGAGAAGCATGAAACCTGTGAGTAGGCACAAGATGATCACCTTTTTCCTGTTGATTACTTTATTCTAAAGTTTACTTTTCCTAAAATCTTTCCCCCTTTCTCCATTGGAGGGTGAGGTACCTCTCACTGTAGAGTAGCTAACACACTGTATGGGCATACGATGGTTAATTTATAGTAACAAGTTCACGGATGTAAACCCATGAGGCAACAGGCAACAAACTAGAGCTATTCCCTTTGAGCTATTCCCAAAGGAGTTGTAAAAAGAACTGCAATTTTCAGATCTGAATAGTTACTTTTGGATTAGACCTACCTGGGACATTTTGTTTTAAATTGCATTTCCTGGAAAGGCTTGTACTAGCTGAAAGTAACATATAATACTGCTGCAACACTACATCGTACAGAAATATCGTCCACCAAGAAAATTCTTCCCAACTCTGTAAAGAATAATAAATCAGACTCATGCCTCTCAGTAAACAACAAAAGATACTGCAAACTTAGGAACAAATATTTCTCTCTGCATAAAAGGCTAAGTAATAACAATGACTAAAAAATATTTACTAGTAAAGTTAATGTCATCGTTTGGATAAACCTTTCTGACTTGAGCAGGACTCATTAAATTTGAGAAAGATTCCAGCGAAAAATCTTGAAGAAAACGCATGGGCTAAGCACTACGCTGAAAGAAACTCACGCAGCCCCTCTGAAGGCACCGACTCCTCAAGGACATGCCAGCCACAACAAAGGTCCTCAACAACAAGCTAATTGCACTCCTGCTTCCTCACCACTTTCCTATGAAGTCAGACTTTCTGCACTGGATAAATTAAGCTCTTAACCAGGACACTCTTAACTTTATGATCAGTATTTCATTGCTATTTCAGGTCTGTGGTTACATCCATTAACTTACAGCTATTGGGAAATATAGAAAAGTAGCGTAGCAACCTCAGCTTAATGGTTAGCAAGTAGCTACATACGTCACAGGAAACCACATATTGTACTAGTTAAGTATGACTTTTTCCAGTAACAGCATAGCCAGGCTGAGAAGACAGAATGTGTTGCTTTCTCATCTCTAGATGTCTTTCCTAACCAAAAAGGAATAAGATTTATTGGTCAGTATGGCTCCTGTTGCTACTCCGTCTTCCTAGGGACAAAACTGTGTAGAAAAATTACTTTAGCACCGTAATTACTTGGTACAACCTTGATATTATCAGTTTATTCTGTAGTTAAAATAGAAACTAATGCTAAAGCGTGAGTTGTTCTCAGCAGCTCGGAGGAAATGACGCTTGCTGCCCATGGTAGAAGTAGCATTTGTCATCACGTTTTCCAGAGCTTAGATAAAAAGCAGTGTAGAAGCCAGAATCCAGGACTGCCACTTCTGAGACAACCAATTACCTCATTTTCTAACTTTAATGGGGACAGTTCCAGTGTCCATAACCTTCCAGGACATAAAAACAACAAAATATTAAGGACACTGATATGTACAAACCCTCTTGAAAATTTCCAGTCACGTCAATATTCCAATATTAGAATATAGCTATTTATTTATATTTAGGCATAAAGAGACACAGACACACATATATATATTTTTAAACTATATAGAAACAAAGACAATTCTTTATTCTATTCTGCCATGCTACATGAGGCATTACAAACACTGTTTCTCAAGTTCAGATTAAGGTAACCACTTCCATCACGTTACTGAAACCCTTAACAGTTTTCAATTTTGCAGTTTCCTGTGTGTTGCAACCCGAAGTCATGATGCTTAGGATGCCAAAAAGCCTTTTCTAAGCCATCTAAAACTGTAATCAAACAGCTTTAGAAACTTTCTGGTGAATGCCAGTAGCGGCATGAGCAAAAAAAGGAGCCCTAAGAATCTATAAACAAATCCAAAGAAATTAACTGAAAAGAAAAAAACTGTCAAGAGCCAAAAGGGAGGACACAGTCTTAATAAGCCAAGGCCAACTTAAAATGCATAAAGAAAGTTTAACAAAACATACAAATAAAGCTTAAGACATAATCAACAACCCCAGAGAGTGCATTGAAGTCAAGGTATTTTAATCTCACTTCATAAATAAAAATGAGTTTTCCTGCATTCAGACATACTTGAACAGCTTGGACGTTGATCACTGTCACAAATCCTTGGACTACTGCTGCAGCACCCTGTTCATCTACAGACTGTTTAGGTAAATCAGTAATGGACATTTTTGATACCATATATTCTAGACTAGACCCTAAAGATCTTGCCATTGTGCTTGACAAATGAAAAGAACATCAAATGCCCCATAATACGTAAGTAGGCATCCGGGGCACCGTTCTATTTTTCTCCCCTTGCTGCCAATACTGGTTTAAGGATTTTCCATCCGTCCTCCACGCTCCCCTAAACTCACTCTCCGGCAGCAGAGGCAGCAAAACACGTGCATTATAAATAATCAGCAGCCAACTGATCTGCCTCGCGGCCATTGATCAGAAAAAAATGAAATACTATGGCAGAGCAGCATGCAGAGATGCACAGCATGAACACCTCAGGCTGGCTCAGCTGCTGAGAAAAGGTACACAGAACCAAACTCTTGTCCTTGGTCTCCCAATCACCTCCCTCTTCCTCTGTGCCACAATTCACAGTGTACAGCAAACATGGGGACAAATTGTGTCCCTGTAAAGACTCTAGAAAACCCATTTGTGCTGGAACATTAAAACAAGCTGCACAAGTTAGAATCATAGAATGCCGAAGGTTGGAAGGGACCTCAGAGGTCATCGAGTCCAACCCCCCTGCTCACGCAGGGTCACCTAGAGCACGTGGCACAGGGCTGCATCCAAGCGGGTTTTAAAGATCTCCAAAGAAGGAGACTCCACAACCTCTCTGGGCAGCCTGTTCCAGTGCTTTGTCACCCTCACAGTGAAGAAATGCTTCACTGAAATGAACAAAGTTATGTATGATGTTGCAGCATCCTGGGTGAGGTCACTTCTGGCTAAATTTCTACTAGAGACCATTAGAGGTTTTCTGTTCAGCCTCAATACAGACCACGTAAACCAGCCCTGGCAAGGCCAGGTGACAATGCTGGGCCAGTGCCACGCAGCCAGGGCACAACCCTGCTGCCCACAACCTGCGAYTGGGGCTCCTACCACACGTCAAAAGGCCCCGTTTCAACTAGATGCAACATTATGGCTTTCCCTGATAAAAACGCAAAGCCACAAAAGTGCAGATGCTTCTTGCACCTATTTCTGTGTTTAAAACTGAATTTTAAGTATCATAGGTTCAATTGTTCTTATGAGAAGGACTATTTATATTTTTAAAATACGTGATTGCTGCATGTAAATTACAATTCAGATTTAATTCCTATATTCACAGGCACCAATAAAAAAAAAGTCTACAAATAGGTAAAGAGGGCGAACTGACAATGCAACTGATTTTTAAATTGAAAAGCACTGAAGAAAACATGATTTTGTAACATCAGAAGTATTTTCCCTAGAGCTACATAAAGCTGAATGGTTAGCCCTATTACTTTAATAGCTTTCTATTACCACAGATGCCATTAAATATGTAAACTCTATAGTTTACATTTCAATTTCTTTGCCACGCATAATGTGGAAGTATGATTTCCAAAACCACTTTGACTCCAATTCTTACTATAGTTAGGTATTCAGTATCCAATGTTCCAAGTGTCTTGCCTAGATTGCATAAATGCCTTGTTTTTTTCCTCTCATTTATATAAATGAGTTCAATCTTACAACAGTCTTTAAGAAAGAAAACAACTACTGTGTACATTTAACAATCTTATAAACATAAAAAGGGAGATGAAATGCTCAGTGATAAAAACTTTATAAATCCTTGTAAATAAGATATGTATATTGCAAATAATTCTTTGTTTAAAAACAAGGCTCACAGTAGTGAAAATACTTGAGCCTATGCTTGCTTCAGAAAGTTACTTTCATAGCAACTACTTTGCTTTTACACCTATCCTGCATGCTTTCATAGGCACCAAATGTATCTTCCCCATATATTAACATTTTTATTCTCGCATACATGTCCAGATGAGGTATTGGTGCAAATCCCAATGCCACACTTCAAAACAGGGTGGAACAGATATCCTTAAATCAAATGCTCAACTTAGGTCAAATATAAACAAACGTGTAGGTTAAAAACATGCTCCTTACTTGTACAACCAGATTGTCCTCTCCCTTTTTGTTCCTCTATTTCTAGGACAAAGTGAAAAACTCAACCTTGAGTCATCAAGGCCCCAACGTGCAGAAAAGTTAACTAAAAAAAGGCACAGGGAAAAGGCCACCTGAACACATACTGGTTCATAGATAAGGCGTATGTTACTAAACATTTACCATATCTAAGAAACAGAAAACAAAACCCCATGTGGTTTAAGGGGTAAATTCACACACAGTATCGATGAAAATGAAAGTCTCTCCCTTAAGTGAAAGGCAGCATACTTAAATTAAACGCATAAACGGCGCACAGAAGCAGCTGCCGTAACTTGAGGCACCGAAACCCCGAGGGTCTCACACGGTTCCACACAGCGGGCGCCTCAGGCGCGGCCCGGCCTCACGCAACGTTTCCCTTGCGGCAGGGGCCAGCAGAAGCAGAAACGCGCCTCGAAACCACCAAACGCTCAACGGCAACGGGGCTGGGGAGGGGAAAACCGCCCAACGGCCGCCGGAGGCAGCGGCGCTTCCCGCTCCGCGCCCAACGGCCGCTTGAGGGGSGGGGGGGGGGGGGGAATCTCGAGACCGCCCCCCCCACCCCCGCCCAGGTGCGCGCGCGCGCCGCCGCTCCCGTGACGCGCGCTGCTGGCCCCGCCCACCGCGCCGAGCGCCACGTACCTTCCCGACGCGAGCAGCAGCGGCACCGCCTTCGCGCGCGATCTATCCCGGCTCGTCTCCGCGCTGCGCCAATCAGAGGCCTCCGCGACGGCCGGGCGCGGGTCAGGGCTGGCCAATGGCCGCGCGCCGAGGGGCGGGATCGGTCCCTATGGCAACGGGAGCTGGATTGGGGGGGCCGCTGCCTTGTCGCGCCGAGCGGAGCCGAGCGGAGCGGAGCCCCGGAGAGGCACGAGAGGACGGCCGGAGGCTGCGCCCCTCTCCAGCCCCGCGCCCAGGACACGTCCCCGGGAAGCAGCGACTCCTCTCCCGCCGCCTCGGCACGAAGCGAGGGAAAGGTAGCGTCGCCTGGCCCGTGCGTGCGTGAGGCCAGTGCGCCGGGCGCCTCGGGCAGGGCCGCTGGCTTCCCGCGCCCGCCGGGCGGCGGTGGCGGAGCGCCCGTGTGCCGCGATCGTGGCCGCGTGCGGGGCGGCAGTGGGCCGCGGCGCGCGTGTGTGGCGGGGCGGCTGCTCTCAGGGAGAGCCGTGGGACGGGGCACTCCCGTCCCGGAGAGCCGTTGGCCGCGCGGGTGTGGCAGCTCCTGTCAGGTAGAGCCGTTGGCCACGCGGGACCGGGAGGCGGGGGGGGGGGAGGGTTCTGTCAGGTAGAGCCGTTGGCCGCACGCGCGCGCGTGGACGGCTCTCCTGTGAGGTAGAGCCCATGGTCGCGTGGGAGGGGGGGTTCCTGTCAGGAAGAGCCGTTGGTCGCGTGGGAGAGGGGAGGTTCCTCTCAGGTAGAGCCGTTGGCCACGCGGGAGGGGGGAGGCTTCCTGTCAGGGAGAGCCGTTGGCCACGCGGGAAGGGGAGCTGCTGTCAGGGAGAGCCGTTGGCCACGC